AACTCTTCCTGTTCACGGTCGGCCGTTTGATTGTCTGCATGCTCACCAATAACAAGCGTCCTCCAGAATGAATGGACCTGATCAACATGTAACGACGCCCTTTCTTCTGTAATAACGCGATGAATGGTGCATGCGCAAGGTAATCCATGAGTTACTGAAATAGTACACCCACACCGAGTATACACTTCGTCAGCCAAGTCCCTCACCCTGTTCAGCTCAGTGAGAATCAACCCCAAGCAGTAGTGCGACACACGACCATGGAGAATCTTAAATATAAAATGGCTATACATCGTACCATGTCGTCGTCTGGAGTCCTCTAGAGAGTTCCTGATGTCGTTCTTCTGAGTTTCAATTGACTTGTTCAGTCTAGCGAACAGTGTATCCAAAGCAGCGGTCGATGAATCAATCCAGTCCTTGGTAGCTCTATGAGCGCTCTCAACTCTACATGTTGTAGTGTTCCCAAAATGAAGTACCTGGTTTGTCCAATATTTAACAAACTTTTCCCTATGAGGGACCCATTGATGCATCACATATTCCACCAGTGCCGGACACCACTGGTACGAATCCCTGAAGTTAGCCAATGCTCGCTCATACGCTTCCTCTGTGGTAGCCTGTAGGATCTTCCGCCACTTACCATTCACCAATTTCTCTGCCATTTCCAAATTCTTCTTGAAAAGGTTGTAGGCTTTCACTTTCACGCAGTTGTTGATGTGCCATGTGCACAATAAGTGGTTCGATTCGGGAAACAGCTCTGCTATGGGGGCAAAGAGACCTCCCTCACAGTCGCTGACGATGGCTGCTGGATGAACATTAGGCCCAATGTAGTTTCTCAGCTTCTCCAAAACCCAATAATAACTTGGAGCCGTCTCATCCCTGATGATTGCATGACCAATCAGAAAGTTCTGGTTCGTTGGAGCCATCCCAACCATCTCAACCAGAGGGAACTTGTACTTGTTTGTCTTGTACGTTGAGTCGATCAAAATCACAAATGGCCAAGACTTGATCATATCAGCACAATCAGGATGCACAAGGAAAAGATGAGTCACCTCCGCTGTATCTTCATCAGAATCAAACCAGAACAGGTAACCACGTGATTGTGCCTGGTGTAGCAGCTGCTGTATAGGGTTCCTTCCCTCTGACCGTTCAAACCTGAGTTGCTGTCTGACGTTGTAGATGTGTCTTCGGTTTGGATGGTCTTCTGGAAATTTCTCTAACACAGATGCTAATATTTTAGCAGGCTTCACTTGAGCATCACTCATTTCTTTCACAACTAGTTTCGCAGCAGGACTTAAGCCGCTCAGTTGTCGATGACCCTCTTCATATACTATCATCTCATGGTTGTGATACCCCCATTTAGAGTAACCTATCACTTCCCAACCGTCACGACTCCGTAGTTGTCGAACCTTTACTCTAAACTCACACCCACAACCTTTCCGCTTTGTGTCAAACCGAGTGGTTGTACGAAAATCTCTTTCTTCTCTTTTGCGATAACGGTCACATCTCAAAATGCGATCCATTCTACCATCCCGTTGAGATTTATGAGTTGCTACTACCAAGCAAAATCCAGCTGCAATTGCAACCTGTTTTGCCCAATCAATCGCCTGTTGAGCTTCTTCGAATGGACCATCATGTCCAAATATCTCACTGTAATCATTTCCGTCTCCACCATATTCCTGCATCAATTATATATTACAATAAATACATTTAACGGATAATACATTTAATTTCTATATTTCCACATAATTAACACAAAAAAAAACATAATTATATATAATCAAACTTAATTTTTATAAAAACCCAATTCGAATTTTCAAACTAAATTTAAAAATATACCATTTCGAATTTTCAAATTTAATTTTAAAAAAACCTATTTCAAATTTTCAAATTTAATTTACAAAAAACCCATTTTGAATTTTTTTAAAAAATCATTTTCGATTTTTTATTTTCACAAAAAAATTAAATAAAAAACAACAACAAAATCAAAAAGGAAAAAATAAAAATTAATTATTAAAGGTGGCGTCTGCCAGGGCTGCCACACCCACTGGACTGGCGCCTGGCAGGGCCGCCTCACCCAGTGGAGTGGCGTCTGCCCAGGACGCCAGTCTGGTGGTCTGGGCGTCTGGGCTGGACGCCACTCTGGTGGTCTGGGCGTCTAGCCTGGACGCCACTCTGGTGGTTCTGGCGTCCGGCTTGGACGTCCAGGCTACGGTTTGGGCGTCCACCCTAGGCGCCGTAGCCACTACGACGGTAAACCGTGAATTTTAGCGGTCACTTACCTCGTTTTCCGTCGACGACGACGTACCTCCGGCGTCCCCCGCATCTCCGGCCTGCCATCCGGTCTCCCCCGACGAGCCAGTACGGCTCCACATTTTTTTACACCGAGATTATCTCAATTTTAGCAAAAGGGCATAATGGTCAAATCATAACATATTTGTGGGCTTTATATGGTAAATTGCGGGCGATGTTTAGCGTTTCACTAAAATAATCCTGTAAATTTAGCCCCAAACAATTTGTCATGAGGTTCCGAAGGGCCGAAGAATGTCTATTTAGGCCCAAGATTTCTATCCCAATAGAGTTCCAACTACTTTTTTCAATGTATTTCCTCATTTTTTGATATTTGTATACCATAATCTAATATCATATCATATTATATCACTAATAAATAAAGCTGGTCTCGCAGTTAGGTCACGAGATAGCGACACTTAGCGAAATTAGTTTTTCGCCAAGTGTCGCGCCACATGGCGACAAATAGGTATTATTGTGATACATAGGATGTTAATTAAGCGAATTTTGGATAGATTTTTGAAGATAAAAATGTTGTACAAAGTTTTATTATTGATATACTACTAATATTTCATATTTCTTTAAAATAAGATCTATTAATATATTTAAAATAATAGAAAATTAGTAAAAATAAGTTTTAATCGGTAAAAATACTTTCACTTTAGTAAAAATAATTTAAGTACGATATCACATGTCTAAATATCCTGCATTATCAAAAGTGATTATATGACGTATCTAACATTCAAGCCAAAAAGTTTATCCTAAAATTCAATAAACAATCCGGGCATCGCCCGAGGCACAAAACTAGTGTATATATATAAAGGGGAGTTTTTTCCCGAGCTTTTAGAGAGCCACGTAGGATAAAATTTTCTTAACGCAGGATAATAGATTATAGTGATAGCCAATCAAATAAGAGATTGTAAATTATTTTAGAATTAAATGATTCAAATGCCACAAACAAAATTGGCGAATGAGATTTTAAAGTTTAAATTAATGAAATATAATATATTATCTTTTGAATTAGGAATTTTATTTAATGTTTAACCGGAAATTCACGATTTATTTTAAAATAAAATATTAAATGATATACTACATACTACGAATAAAATAACAAATTTTATCACACAAATGCAAAAAAATATTTGTTTTAAAAAATACAAATAAACCGTGCATCGTACGGGCTTCATCTAGTAATAATAATAATGATATCATCATCTTCATTCTACAATGATTGAAACAATCAAATTTGACACATTTGTCCGTAACCATTATTGAGTGATATATAAAAGTAAACAATGTTGAAACAATCGCTAATTGTCAAATTTTTCCAAAAGATTTGTAATTTGGTGTATTTAAATTTATACAAAGTACTATTTCATATCATGAAAAATGAAATTATTCTTGTATAATTTGAGAAGTGGAATTATTTATAGGCAAAATTACAATCATTGACACCAACTTTGGGGGCTGTTACAATTATTGACACCAACTTGTATCACTAATTAGATTGACACCAACTTTGATTAAAAACAAAAACTTAAATAACATTAATGATACCTGAGTCATCTTCAGCCAGTCATCTTCGTTGTTGATTTTTCTTCTGTTTCCTCTTCATTGCTCATTTTTCCCATCCTTCATCATCATCTTTTGGTAGAGATTTGAAGTTAATGGTAGATTATTGTAAATTAGTTTGCTATTTTTACCAAATTTGGAAGACAAACAATTTTTTTTAAGCTGATAATTAGGCTTTGCTTGGAGCACTTAACTGGTAAGCTTTAAGGATTGAGTTTTGTCTTTTCAGTTTACATTTTTTAACTCATTAAACATTGATGAAAGTTTGGTTATTTTAAGTGGAATTGTGAATCTAGCGTACTAAGTTTGTAGCCATTTACTTCTTTTTTTAATTTAAGAATTATGTTTTGTTTGAATGGATTATTATGTGTTGTTAGGTTTGATTTTGTTTGAATTTTGTGTTGAATTATGCCTTCGTAGGTTGAAATAGGGATAGGAGCAACACAAGCAAAGAAAATGGCTGAAGAAAGGAGGAGAGAAAAAAAAATTGAGGCATTGTTATTTTAATTTGGGGCTTTTGTTTTAAACAATAATTAACATATTAAACTTAATTACTGATTTAATAACCTATTTCAAATTACTAAAAAAGATTTTAATACAACAAATGATAAATTTCTGGCAAGTAGACCCCACTCAAGCATCATTAATGTTATTTATGTTTGATAGAGAATATTCCTCGAATATTCTCCTCATAGGTTTAGGATATATTTTTATGTAAATATTATCATATTTGACAGGTTTCCTAACACAGTTAGGACTGATGTACATATTGTTAACCCTATAAATATTGATCAATGGAATACTCTCCAATTACGTAGTTTCACAATCTAACCTGGTATCACAAGAGACCGTCTATATGCATCAACCACCTAGTTTTGTTGATAAACGGGTTCCAGATTATGTGTGTTTGCTTCGAAAAGCATTATATGGCCTCAAACAAGCTCCTAGGGCTTGGTATCAAAGGTTTGCTAATTTTTTTGTTGAAAATGGAGTTTGTCATTGCTAAGAGTGCTACATCGCTCTTTACTTATCGTTAGGGCAATGATCTTGCTTACTTACTTCTCTATATTGATGATATTATTCTGACTACTTCCTCTGATGGGTTACGTGAAAAAATGATTACTCAGTTGAAATATGAGTAACCTATGTCTGATTTGGGGCCTTTGAGTTATTTTTTGGGCATCTTTGTGACTCGTACACCATCTTATATGCTTCTTTCCCAAAAGAAGTATGCACAGGAAATTCTTGAGCGAGCAGGTATGGGTGATTGTAAATCGGCCGCTGCACATGTGGAGGTTAAGTCTAAACTTAGCTTGATTCCCGTTCGCCTGTTTGGGATTCTACTAAATACCGTAGTCTTGCAGGTGCTCTTTAGTATTTCACTTTTACTCGTCTTGATATTGCTTATGCGGTACAACAAGTATGCTTGTTTATGCACGATCCTCGAGAGTCACACCTTAGTGCATTACATCGTATACTGTGTTATGTTCAGGGAACCATTGATCATGGTTTACATTTATATTCGTCTGCTACTACACGGTTGATTACCTATACTGACGCCGATTGGACGGGTTACCAAGACACTCGCCGTTCGACTTTCGGTTATTGTTGCTTTTTGGGTGATAACCTTATTTCATGGTCGTCGAAACATCAGCATACACTGTCTAAGTCCAGTGCAGAGGCAGAATACCAAGGCGTAGCTAATGTTGTCTCGGAGGCTTGTTGGCTCCGTAATCTCTTGCTTGAGCTACATTGTCCTCTTCGCCAGACCACTCTTGTTTATTGTGATAATATCAGTGCAATTTATTTGTCTACAAACCCAGTCCAACACCAATGCACGAAACATGTTGAGTTAGACTTAGACTTTGTTCGTGAGAAGGTTGCCTTGGGACAGGTTCGAGTATTACATGTTCCTTCACGTTATCAGTTTGCAGATATTTTCACGAAAGGCCTACCTCGAGATTTGTTTTTGGATTTCAGATCCAATCTTACCGTACGACCTCCTCCCGCTATGACTGCGGGGGTGTAATAGAGAATATTCCTTGAATATTCTGCTCATAGGTTTAAGATATATTTTTATGTAAATATTATCATATTTGACAGGCTTCCTAACACAGTTAAGACTGTCGTACATATGGTAAACCCTATAAATATTGATCAATGGAATACTCTCCAATTACTGAGTTTCACAATATGTACGACAATCCTAACTGTGTTAGGAAACCTGTCAAATATGATAATATTTACATAAAAATATATCCTAAACCTATGAGGAGGAATATTCTCTATCAATGTTTTTTTAATCAAAGTTGGTATCAATCTAACTAGAGGTACAAGTTGGTGTCAATAATTGTAACACCCCTCAAAGTTGGTATTAATGGTTGTAATTTGCCTTATTTATATCTATAAACTTTGATTTTAAGTACTACGTGGTAGAAGTTTTGATTTGTAAAGCCAATGAATAACATGACGTCTACAATAGTATTAATAATAACGAGAAGTCAAAAACTGACTATCTGTGCTCGTGGGTAAAGTTTAATTTGGTATGATTCTTTGGAATAATAATATTAATGTCAACTAACTTTACTCCCACCTAAGAAAAATGTTTGTCAACCAGCATGACATACATAAAAGTACAATGTGAATCCGAGTAGAGCGAAGGGTTTCTTCTCCTAACCTTGAATTATTTCCGCTATCCTCGACCAAAAAAATAAAAATAAAAAATAAATAAATAAAAATTCTAGTACTGTTTAGAGAATATAGGGATAAAAGGTGTGATTGTTTGAAATTATTACAAAGTGGATATTTTTTAAGCCGATCAAGTAAAAATGAAATTATTAGCTTCAATTTTTTTAATATTTTTTTTCTTTTTCTTAAAAAGTTAAATCAAACATTTTCTAAATCTTCAAAATATATGTACATAATTTTCTCATCCGTTTAACATTTGCTTGGATGATGATAGTTGCAATTAATTAAATATTTGTAATACATTATGTTCTTTATGTTGACAATTTTTGGGCTTCTATTTTTTAATTGTGGTTCTCAAATCCTAATATTGACCGAAGTACATCGCCAAGGCTTTTTTGACATGCATGTCAAACCAACTATAACCTAACTGAAGTTGAATTGAAATTCGTTTCCATTACTTACTTTTTTCCTTAATTCATACTCTTATAATTTATTATTTACTAATTATCAATGTTAAAAGATCATTTTCAAATTATAGGTACTAATAGAGCATATAAATCGATCATTCAACCATTAATATAAGCTTTTGGTTGAGTTCGTCATTTAACATGGCAACAAGAGCAAACGTGACAGAAAGGTCATGAGTAGATCTATCAAAATCTGACCCAACCCGAGAAACCGACCTCAACCGACAATGATCTGTATCCGACCCGTGCCCGAAGAATAGGTGAAAATTGTGACATGTAACCTGAACAAAACAGACCTGACATTAACTGATAACTGAATATACCTGATACTTTATGACCTGAACCCGAACATGTGATCAACTTGATATTAACCGAAAATCGATTTGACTCGACTTGATTATGATCCGAACCCGATTAGTACTCGACTTGTTTAGAACCTGAAATCGCTTATAACCTATCACAACTTATTACAAACCCGAATGGATAACAAGAATAGGAGGAAGCCACAACTCGGAGCTTGAAGGAGGCGTTGTCTGCTGGAGACGAGAGGCGTTAATTTTAAGAGAATTGATAATTAGTTTTAGGTTTTACTGGAGTCTGGAAAAAAAAATTACTCCGTATTGCTTTTGGCGCTGCTTTTAGAAAATTAGGAGTAATCTATACATATATGTATTTAAAAGCATTCCTAAAATAGAATGCGTGTTACATTTTTTTAAGCACTATGAACATGACATGTCAGCAATATGTGTCACATGTCACACCTTTAAACACTAAGCTAAATGACATGTCATCTCCACAGCATGTACTAGATTTGACAAAGTAACTAAAAATGCTTATAGTAAGACTTAAATTCAAGACCAACAAGTATTAAGTTACAACACTTACCATCTTAACTATTCATTTACTGTGCTTTTCTATCAAACACATTATAGTTAACCTGGATAAAATAATTAGTGTTTACAAATCTTTTTTCAAATCTTGAAATTTCAAGATGATTATCAAAAGACTAAGAAAAAACAGTCGAACATGATTAGCAAACTAACAAGCACAAACTAGCATTTTGGAACATCGCCCGGGCCACACACTAGTTACTTAATGATTGCCGCGAAGCTCATTTCCCCCAAATTTTCATCAATTAATTAGGCACCAAACTATTTAGTGCTTAATTTATTTCACTGATCTCTCTTCATAAAGCTTTTTAAATAAAAGTTAGTGATATTATTATATATAATAATTAATAATATTAATAATAAATGTAAAACATATATACACTCTCGGTTTTTTTTAAATTGCAATGGCTTTTTTTCTACTATTTATTTAGCGGCTTTGACTTATATTTTTAACGTGGAGTAATAAATTAACAAATAAATTTTATCATGCAATATGTTAGTCAATTCGTTTCTTAATAATCGCAGCACTAAGTGTTGCACGGAGTTTTAGAAAAATAATAGGGTGGGGACCAAATGGAGAAATAAAAAATACTCCCTTCGTTTTAAATACTAGTTCCATTTCTACTTTTTGCACTATTCATTTGTCTTACTTTGACTAATTTTTGTGATTTATACATAAGAAAAAATATAGCCTTGTGGGTACTTGTCAGATTCGTCTTAATGAATAGATTATTAATTTTCAATTATTAGAATTTATACTTATTGATAATTAAGATATTATTGATTAAAGATTAGCATTGACATACGTGCCTAGGAGAAATAAAGAAAGTATTTAAAAATAGAGGGAGTACTTCATATAAATTATACTTCCTCCTTTCTATTAATATTGCAACAATGGACTTTTTGCACTATTTATCACTCTTGTTTGACCATATAATATGATTTATACGTTAAGCAAAATATAGTCATGTGAGATCTTGTTGGATTCGTCTCATAAAATACTTTCACAATATCAACTTTTTATAATTTTTACTCTTACAGAATTATATATATTTAGCATATAATTTGTGGTTTGGGATGCGTAATTTCATCCTTATTGCAATATTAATAGAACGGAGGAAGTAATTAGTATGGGTATAATATTTAGTTGTTTATAGGATAGAGAAATAATAATTAAAAAAAAAAAGTAGTGTATGTGGGGTTGGTAGGAGAGAGAAATAATAAAATATAGGTGGATCATTACCAAATAAGGAAATATTGAATTAGTTACAATGTGTATATTTATTATAATATCAAAATTTTATAATTTATTTATACAAATACTAAATTAAAGACATTAATGCCTCTGTCCAACTGTATAGCATGTCCAGTCAAAATGTTGCAATAGATTAACATGATAAAAACTCAATCTATGTAAAATTCATGCTTAAAATTAAAATGAACAACATTCCAATCTAATCGTGATATAAAGCCTGTCATATATAACCCGAATCGAACTTGACCCGATCCGACCTGAACCTACTTGTAAGTCAGAAAAAACCGACTTGATCCGACTTGAATTTGATTTGAAACCCAGCATGATGCGACCTGAACCCGACTTGAATATCCGATTTGACACCTCTAGTCATGAGTTTCAATATCATTCACTCCCCACTTTCAATAAGAATATTTCGTGTTGGGTATGAGGGGGCTCTATTGGGATATATTTTAGAGATATATTTTGATATTATTTGGTAGAATATATTTATCTTGATTAGATAGCTTTTGGTAGTTAGATTTAATTTATGTTAATTAGATAGCTTTTGGGAGCTTGCCAAAAGAGTATCTTGAGTAAGGGACTATGTATTATAAATATGTTACGTTTTTTTTTTTTTGACAATTGCAAAGGAGATGTTACGATTGTTTTCGTCAATTTCACATGGTATTAGAGCCAGGTCTACGATATGGGACTCTAAATGGCTAAAAGTTCATTGGGCCAAGAGGAGTACGTCCATGTGAGGGGGTGTGAAGAAGCATTCTAGCTCGAAAAATCACAGGAGACAAAGTTAAAAGGGACCTTACACGTGAGGGGGAGTGTTGAAGAATAGGCTTGTTAAGTATTTTTTTTTGAAAACCTAGGCTTGTTAAGTATCATCATCACATGTAAGTGTCCCACATTGGTTGAATAAGAGAGAGTTAATCACTTTATAAGGTTAAAGGACTACTTCTCCTATTGCCATATGATTTTGGGATGGAAACTCCTTTGGTCTTATGAAGTGGACTCTCACTCTTAATTGCGGGTGCGGCCGAGACCCGTATTTAATATGGTATTAGATAGCTTTTGGGAGCTTGCCAAAAGAGAATCTTGAGCAAGGGACTTTGTATTATAAATATGTTACAATTGTTTCAATGAAAGGTAAGTCAAAGTTCATCAATTTCACAAGCTCATATTGTATCCATACTTCAAGCCCAAATAGTGTGATATCTACAACTCTTTAAATATGAGTATACCACCGGTACTGTTCTTATGAACAGTAGAGCAGTGTGCTTCCTCATATACCCTCGGTTTGGAATGTTAATTACGGACTTGCCATTTTGTTCTGATATTCCCCCTTTTCTTCTTCCCTGGTTTTCACTTTTTCTAACTCGCCCATTAGTTTTCTTCTCTCTCATCATTTTCTTTGTCCTCCTCTTCCTCGTCCTTCTCCATTAAAGCAACTCCAGAGGTACGATAGTTTTACTTTTACGCACCTTTCACTTTCTCTCTCCTCCCTCCATTGAAGCCTACTTCGAGTTTTCCATTGAAGCGGATTCTAAGCTTTCTATCCTCCATTGAAGCTTCTTCTGAGGTAAGGTTATTATTTTTCAATTCATCTAATCTAATCTAATATTAATCGCTCAATCTAGGGTTTAATTTCACACTATCGTTAATTTAATTTATCTCTCAATCTAGGGTTTAATTTCACATTACCGTTAATTTAATTTTTATTTTCAGTATAGTTAATTTAGGGTTCTTATTAGGTTGATTATTGAACTATTGATTGTAATTACTGAAGTTATGGAAGCTTAAAACGAGCGATTTCTTTGTAAGAATTTTGTTATATGCAGTTTATGTTGATTTTGTTTAGCGAGATGAATTTTGTGTGATGTTTTTGAGTCTAATCAAGCAGATCTGAAACGTTTTGGGGCTATTTAAGCATGAGTCGAGCGTGAGTTGGAATAGTAGTAGTATGATTAATAAACTAATTAAGTGATCTTTGTTGCATGCAGTTGAACGCTTTGCCTTTGGTGAAGGTGTTAGTGAGCTGGGTGTATCTGGTGTGAAGGTACTAATTCTGAATTCACAATTGATAAACTCTATCAAATTTAGGTTATCTTACATTTGGTTGAGCTAATTTAGATTAAAAAGTGTAATATAAAAACAGCGATTAAATTGTGAGATTATATACTTTAATCGACAAATATAAGAGTATGTAATTGATGGTGACGGTTTAACAATGGAGGATTTGAGGTTCAACAATGGTGAAAATTAGATCTTTTGGCGCTGTTTGCATTTTTGCGTGCTTGAGAGTTGAGACGAAATGAGGGAAAATAAGATAGTTGCAAATGAGGTTTCTGACTAATATTTTTTTTGGGGAGTAATTAATAACCACCAGATACATTGTTTTCGAAATTATCATTAATTTGTAGAATATGGATAATTAAGATTATTAATTTCAAGAGCATGGATAATGCACTACTTAAGTTCACCTACTATAATTTCCAGAATTTTGCATGTTAATTTAAATTATGTGTGAAAAATTAATCTCTGTCTTAATATCTGATAATTCAGTTTTAATACCTACTATAATTTCTAGAATTTTTCATGTGGGAGAAGTTAGGAGCTGATTCTACCGAATCTTAGGAAAAAGGGTGAGGTAAATAATCAGTACTTTATTCATTGATGTTATGCTTTAAACTGATTTAAGGGGAAGTAGGGGAGGGGCTCTTTTGGCAGTATCTTTATATGTTAGTTATGAGTAGCTTGGGATTTGGAAATTAATTAGATATAATTAGGGAAGAAATTTTATGTATAGAGAAGATTATGGAGAGGGAAGGATGTCAATCTTCATCATAATTTTCTTTGCTTTTTAGCTTTTTTGTCCGTCTTCTCTATTTCTTTTTCCCTAAAATCAGATGCTATTATACAGTTTATCCTTCTTCTTTTCTCTCTCTTCGTACTTGCTTCTTCTTTAACATGCAATTGGGTTATGTATATTAGTCTATTAGTTTTCGGAGGAGTTGTAGTTGATTTGACTAATATTACATATATAAGAGCGTGCAATAGATGTTGAAGGTAATTTGGTTTTCTTTTCTTTGTTCACCATTGAAGCTTATATTAGGTGATTTAGCGTTTCTTTTCTTTTTTGTTCGTCTATTTTGAATTTTAGTTTTGGGATTTTCTTTTCGTACTTGCTTGCTTTTTTTTTTTTGTTTTTTTGTTTTGGTATTCTTCTTTTTGTTTGCTAATAAAGCTTCTATGATGTGACTTCCTGTATATATTTGTTTAATTATTTGGGTTTACTATTTGAGTTTTGAATTTTACTGATTCCAATTCTGTTTTTATGAATTTTATTGATTATGATTGTTTCTTCAGGGTTATTTTTGGGTACTTGTCATTTCATAAAACAAAAAAAAATATTATAATAAAGAAATGGAAAAAATGGACACATTTTAAGAATAGATTTGTTTAGTTCCATTCACCATTCTGGATATAGTTAGTGGGCATATATTATAGACTATAGCTTGGGTGGACAGTAATATTTTTTCCTGTACTTTATAACCTGTCTACAATTACATTTGATTTTATAATTTATACTTCTACTGGAGAAGTATAAATTATATAAAGGAACCGTTACATATAATATGGGTGATATTAACCGTTAAATATAACCAGTCTATAATTACAATTGATTTTATAATTTATACTTCTACTGGACAGTAATAAACTTATTTTGAATGATATAGGCCGTAGCAGGTAGTCTGATATTCTTTTAGTTTTGGGATTTTCTTTTCGTACTTTCTTGCTTCTTCTTTTATTTTGGTATTTTTCTTTTTGTTTGCTAATAAAGCTTGTATGAGGTGATTTCCTGTATATATTTGTTTAATTATTTGGGTTTACTATTTGAGTTTTGAATTTTACTGATTCCAATTCTGTTTTTATGAATTTTATTGATTATGAGTGTTTCTTCAGGGTTATTTTTGGATACTTGTCATTACATAAAACAAAAAAAATATTATAATAAAGAAATGGAGAAAATGGACACATTTTAAGAATAGATTTGTTTAGTTCCATTCACCATTTTGGATATAGTTAGTGGGCATATATTTTAGACTATAGCTTGGGTGGACAGTAATATTTTTTCCTGTACTTTTTAACCAGTCTACAATTACATTTGATTTTATAATTTATACTTCTACTGGAGCAGTATAAATTATATAAAGGAACCGTTACATATAATATGGGTGATATTAACCGTTACATATAACCAGTCTACAATTACATTTGATTTTATAATTTATACTTCTACTGGACAGTAATAAACTTATTTTGAATGATATAGGCCGTAGCAGGTAGTCTGCTATTCTGTTAGTAGATTCAGTGATAAATAATATTGAGGAACCGTTACATATAATATGGGTGACACTATGTTTTTGGTTTTGTGATTAGTTTTCAGCCTGTTATTTGGATTTTGATATCTCTTTGGTTTTGGATTAGCAAATGGATTATGAGTATACGTTTTTTGTACAAATTGTGCATAAATTGTAAGCTGTTCATTTTTTGGGATTTATAGTTGATTGAGGCATTTTAGGATTAAAAAGGAGTTAAAAAGGGATAGATGCTAAGTTTGTATATACTAGGATATGGGAAGACTTTTTTATTTAAAACGTTAATCTCATATATGAGGATGGTTGTCCTGTTGTGGGGAAAGGTGTCGGAAGAAAGGTGTTTGAGAGAGTGCAAGAAATATATGATACTGAGTTGGCTGGCAAATTCTTCCTTAGTTTTTTTCTTTACTTCTTCTTCTCCTTGTTCCTCCGCTCCTTTCTTTTGCTCTTCTTCTGTTTCCCTATTGTTTTTCCTTTTTAAATTTTTTTCTTTTTCTTTTTCTGCGTTTCCTTTTTCTTCACTTTTCTAATTGTTCAGCAGCTTCAAACTTCGCTCCACCTTCGCCAACTCTCCCTTGATGTCGTTGTATCTCCCCTGACCTTTCTCCACCTTTACTGGTACTCCCCAAAATGGGTGACAGACAAAGATTGGTTTTAAAATTGCAAAATAACCTTGGAGTGATTACTAGGCAGCTAAATCTTTTGGGTTTTTATCCAACTGTCGTGTCCAGCCATAGGGACACGTTTCTTTTTTGGTAGATCTGATTGAGTGTTAATTAGTACAACATCTGTTCGTGATTGAGTTTTAAACACCTTCATGAACAGCATCTGGTTCCAATTGGTCTTTTCAAATGTGTGTCAGAAGACTCACATCTCACAAACCTTGCCTGATGATCGCCAGCTCTTCCTGACCTTCACTCTGCCTGTGATTGTTCAGCATCAGTTTATGTTGTCTGTAAGTTACTGCCTTGTTTTGTATTCTTTTAAATAGCTTTTGCGATATAGGATGCTTGTTACTTTGGGTGGAGTTTCAGTAGCCACATTTTGTATGACCTTTATTCCAGGATTATCCTTGTTATGGAAAATTTTGTTCATTATAAAAAGGTGTTGGATGAAAAGTGCTCTAGAAAGTGTAAGAAACATATGATACTGAGTTGGCTGGCAAACTCTTCCTCAGTTTTTTCTTTTAACTTCTACTTGTCCTTGTTCCTCCACTCCTTCCTCTTCTTCTTTTTCTGTTTCCCTTTGTTCTTTTATTTTCTCTCCTTTTTTGTTTTTTACTAATATTGGGCTTGATTAACAGCATTAGAATCAGTTGTTAAAAATGGATAGATACAAATTTTGTGCGCACAAGAATATGGAACGACTTATTTATTAAATACGTTAATTTAATGTATGAGGATGGATAGATAATAATCTTTTTGCCTATAGTTCATTAGCATTATTATAAGCCCATCTGCCTGATTAACCTCATTAGAAGTAGTTTAAAAGGAGTAGATGCTAATTTTGTATGTGCTAGGATATGGGACGACTTATTTATTTAAAACGTCAATCTCATGTATGAGGATGGTTATGCTGTTGTAGAGAAAGGTGTCGGAAGAAAAGTGTCTGACAAAGTGCAAGAAATATATGATACTGAGTTGGCTGATTAACATCATTAAAAGGAGTTAAAAAAGGATAGATGCTAATTTTGTATGTACTGGGATATGGGATGACTTTTTTATTTAAAACGTTAATCTCATATATGAGAATGGTTGTCCTGTTGTGGGGAAAGGTGTGGGAAGAAAAGTGTTTGACAGAGTGCAAGAAATATATGATACTGAGTTGGCTGGCAAACTTTTTTATTTAAAACATTAATCTCATATATGAGGATGGTCGACTTGTTGCGGGGAAAGGTGTGTTTGACAGAGTGCAAGAAATATATGATACTGAGTTGGCTGGCAAACTCTTCCTCAGCTATTTTCTTTTAACTTCTACTTGTCCTTGTTCCTCCACTCCTTCCTCTTATTTTTCTGTTTCCCTCTGTTCTTTTATTTTTCTCTCCTTTTTTGTTTTTTACTAATATTGGGCTTGATTAACAGCATTAGAATCAGTTGTTAAAAATGGATAGATACAAATTTTTTGCGCACAAGAATATGGAGCGACTTATTTATTAAATACGTTAATTTAATGTATGAGAATGGATAGATAATAATCTTTTTGCCTATAGTTCATTAGCATTATTATAAGCCCATCTGCCTGATTAACCTCATTAAAAGTAGTTTAAAAGGAGTAGATGCTAATTTTGTATGTGCTAGGATATGAGACGACTTATTTATTTAAAACGTCAATCTCATGTATGAGGATGGTTATGCTGTTGTAGGGAAAGGTGTCGGAAGAAAAGTGTTTGACAAAGTGCAAGAAATATATGATACTGAGTTGGCTGATTAACATCATTAAAAGGAGTTAAAAAAGGATAGATGCTAATTTTGTATGTACTGGGATATGGGACGACTTTTTTATTTAAAACGTTAATCTCATATATGAGGATGGTTGTCCTGTTGTGGGGAAAGGTGTGGGAAGAAAAGTGTTTGACAAAGTGCAAGAAATATATGATACTGAGTTGGCTGGCAAACTCTTCCTTAGTTTTTTCCTTTACTTCAGCATCTTCAGCATTTTCCTCACCTCCGAACTATCTTTATGTTGTCTGTAAGTTACTGCCTTGTTTTGTATTCTTTTAAATAGCTTTTGCGATATAGGATACTGGTTACTTAGGCTGGAGTTTCAGTAGCCCGTTTTTTTATGACCTTTACTCCAAGGTTGTCTTTGTTATGCAAAATCTTGTTCATTTGCATTATTAAAAGCCCATCTGAGTGATTAACGGCATTAGAAGTAGTTAAAAAGGGATAGAAGCTAATTTTGTATGCACTAGGATATGGGCCGACTTATTTATTAAAAACGTCAATCTCATGTATGAGGATGGTCGTTCTGTTGAAGGGAAAGGTGTTGGAAGAAAAGTGTTAGAAAAAAATGGTATGTGTATGGTAAGAAACTAATATGTCGATTAAATAATTGAAAATCAGATTCTTCCAAATGGTATGTGAATTGTTTTGAAAAAGTGATTGAAAGGTGTCGGAAGAAAAGTGTTTGACAAAGTGCAAGAAGTATATGATACTGAGTTGGATGGCAAACTCTTCCGTAGTTTTTTCCTTTACTTCTTCTTTTTCTTGTTCCTCCACTCCTTTCTGTTCCTCTTCTTCTGTTTCCCTCTTTTTTTTTTTCCTTTTAAATTTTTTCCTTTTCTTTTTCTGCATTTCCTTTTTCTCCACTTTTTTGGTTGTTCAGCATCTTTCTCACCTTTCTGAACTTCGCTCCACCTTTGCCAACTCTCCCTTGATGTCGCTGCATCTCCGTTAAGCCACTTTGTATTGAGTTTTAAACACCTTCATGAATAACATCCGGTTCCAATAGGTCTTTTCAAAGGTGTGTCCCAAGACTCATATCTCAGAAACCTTGCCCGATGATCGCCAACTCTCCTTGACCTTCACTCCGCCCTGTGATTGTTCAGCATTTTCAGCATCTTCCTCACCTCCCTAAACTATTTTTATGTTGTCTGTAAGTTATTGCCTTGTTTTGTATTCTTTAAAATACCTTTTGCGATATAAGATACTGGTTACTTAGGGTGGAGTTTCAGTAACCCGGTTTTTTATGAGCTTTACTCCAAGGTTGTCTTTGTTATGCAAAATCTTGTTCATTTGCATTATTATAAGCCCATCTGCCTAATTAACAGCATTAGAAGTAGTTAAAAAGGGAAAGATGCTAATTTTGTATGCACTAGGATATGTGACGACTTATTTATTAAAAACGTCAATCTCATGTATGAGGATGGTTATCTTGTTGAAGGGAAAGGTGTTGGAAGAAAAGTGTTTGAAAAAGTGCATTAAATATATGATACTGAGTTGGCTGGCTAACTCTTCCTTAGTTTTTTTTTTCCTTCTTCTTCTCCTTGTTCTTTCACTTCTTTTTCTTCCTCTTTTTTTGTTTTCCTCTTTTTTTCCTTTTATAGTTTTTTTTTCTTTTTCTCCATTTTCTTCTACTCCACTTTTCTGATTGTTCAGCATCTTCTTAGAAAAGTGTTTGAAAAAGTGCATTAAATATATGATACTGAGTTGGCTGGCTAACTCTTCCTTAGTTTTTTTTTCCTTCTTCTTCTCCTTGTTCTTTCACTTCTTTTTCTTCCTCTTTTTTTGTTTTCCTCTTTTTTTTTCCTTTTATAGTTTTTTTTTTCTTTTTCTCCATTTTCTTCTACTCCACTTTTCTGATTGTTCAACATCTTCTTCACCACCTCCCTGAACTTCGCTTCGTCTTCGCCAACTCTTCTTCAATGTCATTGCACCTCCCCTGACGTTGCTCCACCTTTACTGGCACTCCCGAAAATGGGTGACAGACAAAGATTGGTTTTAAAATAGCAAAATATGTTGTAGTAAAAAAATGACCATATACTTTACAAAAAATAACTTTGGAGTGTTTACTTGGCAGCTAAATGTTTTTGTTTTTTTGTCCAATTGTCGTGTCCAGCCATAGGGACATGCTTTTCTTTGCTAGATCTGAAAATGTACGGATCCATCTTAAGTTTATGAAAATGTACAGGGTACAATTAACCTCATTCATTTTTTTTCCTCTTAACATTTGGTTATTTATTTGGAACTCCTCCAAATGCGGAAAATACTCCAAAACAAAAATGCTGTGCCATGCACATGCATATATACAAAAAATGACGAAGTTTTATAGATTAATAGCCATGTAGGTATACAAATTCATTTTGGACCTCCTGTATCGAATTTACAAATTAGATCAAATTAGAGAGCAAAAATAGGTATTAGTCTTAACTCTTAAGTCTAACGACAATAAGCAGTGCTTAATTAAGTATATGATTGAAAAGAATGTCTCAAAAATAGTTTTTAAATAATTACTGCACGGAAAAATTACATTGATATTTGACCCGAATCGAATCTACCGAATTCTTTGAAGAATTAGGCATATAGTCGCATTATTAAAAGTATAATTTAAACCATGGGTATGTTAAGTTAATGCTGTATCCACTATATATGCACTATTTGTATTACGTGAATATGATAATTGGAGGTAAACTAATCACAAGGGACTGTGAGAAATGTGGCTTCATCCAAGCAATTGTTATTCTTTGTTTTAAGTTGAGGAATGTGGCTTTATCTGAGCTAATCTCCATTTATATAAATATATTCTAACAGAGTGTTGAAGTATTTTAAAATGACAGCTATTTCTTTTTATTGTGTTAGTATGTGAATGTGTTTTTCTTTTTAAAAAGGTAGTCAGTTTTAATAATGATTTAACTTTAATTTTTTTTTTTATGTTGTAGGATCTCTTCTGTATGTAGTTGTTCGTAATATTTAGAAATGGAGAATGCAGATGAACTTGAAACTGCAATTGCGAGATATAAAAACTTTCGTAAAGTTCATAAACGTATCACAGATGTGCTGAAACTAGGAATTTTGGGGATTCAGGAAGAAATTTTCCAGAAGAAGGCTAAGGTTGATTTGGTGTTGAGAAATGCTGCAAAAGGTGTGCAAAATGCAATTGATCAAGCACCTATTATGTTGTACAACCGTGTTAGGTTCCTAAATTGAGTGGAGCAAGTCACAAACAAAGGTAGTTCACAGTTTGAAAGATTAGAAGAAGATAAGAAGAAAGAGAAGGAGAAAATGGAATTGGTTCTGATGAAGTATAACAAGAAGGCAATTTATAGGTGTTAATGAATTATTTTGGAAAAGTTGTATGTACCGGTAGTGAACAACATAGTAGGGATTAAAATTATAGTTTTTAGGGAAGAGATGTATTATGTATTTTGAATATTATATATAGGAAGCTAAGACTTAACTGTTTTAGTAATGGTTTGGGGGCTTTGCAACATGTTAGTTAGATTTTAGTAGGAAGTTTAATAGGTTGCAATTTTTGTAAAAAAATGGAAATGAATATCTAATTATTCTCTTCCCCCCGATTTTTGTAATGTTTATTGAATGATAAGTATGATATGAATAAAATAGTTATGATTTGTCAAATTTGTTGTTTTATTGAAATAGATATTTAGTTTATTTTGTTAATAGAAGACATAGATTTCTTTTCTCTCTTTTCATTATTCCATAAGGAGTTTTATGTATTTACCAGAATGATATAAGATAATAACTGCCGTATAATTTTTAGGTACTAATATTTCCACTGACAGTGTCTCTGAGATTTTAGGAGCATGTCAAAAGGGGTATCCATTCTCCATTATTTTCACATAAATGCTACATTTAATTTTCCTTCAAAGATACCAGAAGTTTTTTCCCATTACTTTCACATAAACTCAACCATTTTTTTTAAAAAAATAGCCTTCAATCTTTCTCTAATGTCTGTCTTTTTAACTACTTCATTAATCTTGGCATCATTTTATAATTAATGTTTTCCAGAACCAACATTATTGTCTGAATAAAGCTTGAGCTTTACAAAATTTGCATTCTAATTTACTTTTTCCCCTCTTATTTAGCTTATCAACTTCAATTATCTGATAAGGGATATTTGATGTGTGTACAGATGGTGTCACTGTTGTCTGAGTTAAATTCCATGAATTCAGTATTCATATTTTAGAGTTGGTGATATAGAAGTTCAATTGAGGGTCTCAGACAATATATACAGAATGAAGCGTAATTTAGAAGCACGTTTGAACACTGAAATAGAGGGGTGCACAAATTGGGGACAATCATCTGCTAATTCTTCACAAATGTCTGTACAAGAATGTGAATCACTGTAAGTCTGTATGTTAAACTGCCTTATGTTATAGATATTCTGTTACTTATATGTATACTTTATTATTTACAGATACAATTCCAGTAAACGTAGGAAACGGGAGAATCGTTGGCGTAGTTCTCAGTCATATATTGGGAATACTACAGGTAATTATGTCTATTAATCATTGTAATGAAAAAATTATAATATCAATTCGATTAATTTGTGTGAAATTTCGATATACTAATTTACCTCATTATCAATTGAATTAAGTCCACCTCGTACAGACTCCTAAGTATTGTTGCCTCTTAAAAATAATATTTAAAATCCTAAGATAACAAGTAACCTAACATAAATATTCGATTTTGAAGAGATCTTGAATATGTGCTAAGTGTCAGATGTACTCCATTTTCAAAAAAAAGAAGATTTGTGCACTATATATTTAAAATCCTATTATTCGTTTATGATATCAGTATATTGTTATTAATATATTTGTTAAAATGCAAATAGTGGGAAGTTCTTCGCATACATGTTATCGACGTTCAACCAAACGTAAACGTTTTTTTGAAGGAACTTCAACTGCTAAAATGCCAAGGTATTCACTAAATTACTGAGATTGTGTAACATTTACGAAAATAAAGTTGGTTTACTTTAATCCATCATCATTTCTTGTGTAAAATTAACCGAGAATGCCGTAAAAAAACTCGAAAAAAAGGTTGGTATTATAATCATAAATTATGATTATTTTGAACAGTTAACTTAACGTTTTAATATGATGGATGGTACTTATTATATGCACATGTTATTAATTGAAATTTTATTTGCTTTTTGTAATTGATAGTTATACCTCCAGCTACTATTGGGCAAACTCTACCGGAAGGTCCTCTCATGCTCGATAATGTGCATTACTGTTTGCATTGTAATGCAAAGAAGTTCAAGTATGAAAGTTTACATTTTTGTTGTTGCAATGGAGAGGTTGTTATTGCAACTAATGAATTTCCTGATGAGTTATGCCGCTTATTTATATCACAAGAAGAAGATGCTAAGCATTTCCAACAATATAGCCGGATGTATAACAATCTTTTTGCTTTTAGTTCTATACGCGGCATAACTGATTCAACAACATATAAAGGAATATATGTGTTCAAGATGCATGGGCAAATATATCATTGTGTTCCAGATCTACTCCCTAATGATAACAGTCCTAAATACCTACAACTCTATTTTTATGATGGGCAACACGAAGTTCAAAATCGAGTTAAATGTTTTCCAGAAGTACGGGAAGATATTATTCGTATACTGATGAAGGTTACTGAGAAAAATCCTTATGCAAGATTTTTTAGATCGCTGAAGGAAATAGAGATAGATGAAAATACGCAAATTGTCTTAAATCAAACGACAGTTTTGGATCAGCGTGTTTACAATGCACCATTGACAGATGAAGTTGCTGTGGTATGGCCAGATGGTGTGTCTTCTAATGAGATCAGCACTCCACATATTCTTGTGTATTGGAAGTCTGCTCAAACTCATCGAATTTATCATTATTATGGGTGCTATAACCCATTACAATATCCACTTTTATTCCCCCATGGTGAATGTGGTTGGACTCAAAATTTTAAGAAACAAATTGCTGTTGGGAACCGTCAAACACATCAGGTTCCAGATCCTGTAAATTCTTGTACAGTTCATACTGTACACGATTTTTTGGATGAAGAAGCATTACGTAAGTTCATGTTATACACACTTATAAAGATTAAAAACATTTAGCATGTAATGCATTTTAATCACTTACTTTTTTCTTCTGCAAATTGTAGGTGCTGTTCGACACAGAACAAGAGCTGATAAATATGTCTCTCCAAGAGAATACTATGCTTATAAATTACAAATTCGGCCGCACAATATGCTCCTAAGAGCTGGTAGGTGCTTCCAACAGTTTGTTGTTGACATGTATGTCAAGATTCAAAATACAAGGCTTGATTACCTGAGAAACAATCAAGATACAATAAGATTTGATCTTTATCAAGGTATTCTTGACAGTGTAACGAACGGAGAGACAGATGCTTCGAAGATTGGACATGTCGTTATTTTGCCTCCATCGTTCATTGGTTGTCCTAGAGATCTTAGACGCCGATATTTAAATGCTATGGCATTAGTTCAAAGGTATGGCAAGCCGGATCTTTTTATTACTATGACATGTAATGCAAATTGGCCAGAAATAAAGGCTGAACTACAACCTGGCGAAAAAGCGCAAGATAGACCAGATGGAGTAGCTCGGATATTCCGTGCTAAACTATTGGCGCTGAAGAAGCAGATCATGAAGAAAAAAGTCTTTGGCGAAGTGGCAGCAATGATAAACGTTGTTGAGTTCCAAAAAAGGGGTTTACCTCATGCACATTTCTTAATCATACTGAAATTCGACTTCAAAATAAGAGGGCCAGCAGACTATGACAAATTTGTTTCAGCTGAGATACTGTCACTTCATAATCCTCTACTTCGTAAAGTTATTTTGACTCATATGATGCATGGGCCGTGCGGTCAGCTAAATCCAAGATGCCCTTTTGATGAAAATGGATGGGAAAAAGTTAGCATGTAAAAATGGGTATCCAAAAGACTACACAGCAGAATCGTTAAACAACAAAGATGGATATCCTATATATAGGAGAAGACAAACAGGTGAAAAAGTGAAAATTAAACATGCTGAGCTAGATAACCGATGGGTGGTACCATATAATCCGTATTTACTACTTATGTTTGATTGTCACTTAAATGTTGAGGTATGCTCAACTATCAAAGCAGTGAAGTATCTGTACAAGTACTTTTACAAAGGGCATGATCGAATCTCATACAAGATATCTGACATGACTGATAATAAGCTCGATGAAATTGAACAATTTCAATCTGGCAGGTTGGTACTGGTTATTCAATTTGCATTATTTTGTTCTTTCTTAATAATTTCAAATATAACAGCTAAATTGAACAAATTCAATTTGGCAGGTGGGTATCCCCATGTGAAGCAGCATGGCGAATTTTTGGGTTTGATCTTTATGATATCTATCCTCCTGTCTTGCCATTGCCTGTACATTTACCGTACATGCAATCCATTGCTGTAAGACCACATGAAAATCTTAACCGGGTAGTGAGAGACCCAAAGCGTTCACGGACTCCATTAACAGAGTACTTTACAATGAATGCTAAGATTAATGGTGGCACCAAACTTTTATATGGTGAATTCCCAGAGCACTACAAATGGGATGCATGTAAAAAGGAGTGGATTCAGAGACAAAAACAGCTCATTGTTGTCGGGCGAATGGCATTTATTCTACCTGCTGAAGGTGAACGTTATTTCCTCCGACTTTTATTGCTAAATGTCAGAAATGCAAGATCTTTTTTACACTTACGCACGGTTGATAATTATGTCTGTGCTACATTCCAAGAAACTGCCCAACGACTTGGTCTTTTAGAAGATGATGATGCTGCATCTATATGCTTAGCCGAAGCTTCAGAAGTGCAATTACCAGATGCTTTGAGACGACTTTTTGCAACAGTTCTAATTTTTTGTCAACCAAGTGATCCATGTGCTTTATGGGATAAGTATTACACAGCATTGTCAGAAGATTTCAGCCATAAATTTAAGGGTTGTACTGATAAAATCAAGCAGCTGACTGTTAGTTTGTTAGAACAACATCTTGAATCAATGGGTAAATCACTGAAAAGTTATGCGCTAGATCATCTAAGCTGTACTGTTACTGATGAATTCAGAAAAACAAGGGATATAGCAGATGCTCTGAATGCAGCTATTCCTCAAGAATTCATAAATGCAAAAGAACGTTTGAATACAGCTCAATTCCAAGCATTTGAGTCCATAATAAAACACATACATGAAGGAAGAGGAGGTTCCTTTTTTATTGATGGACCAGGTGGTACAGGGAAGACCTTTTTATACAATTGTTTATATGCAGAAGTTCGTATGATGAATAAAATTGTACTCCCAACTGCAACATCTGGAATAGCAGCATCAAATCTTCCTTCAGGGAGAACAGCTCATTCAAGATTTAAAATACCAGTTGACCATGAGAACTGTTTGACATGTGATGTGCCAAAACAAGGTAGTTTAGCACATTTAATAAAAGAGACGGCTTTGATTATTTGGGATGAAGCTCCTATGGCCAACAAGGCAAATTTACAAGCCCTTGATTTGCTGCTCCAGGATATCTATGAAAATACAACACTTTTCGGTGGCAAGCTTGTTGTTCTTAGCGGAGATTTTAGACAAATTCTTCCAATTGTACCTCATAAGTCACAAAGACAGGCTGTTGAAGCAAGCATAGTGACTTCATATATCTGGACAGCTCTGACCAGATTTCAACTAATAGAAAATCAGCGAGCTAATGAAGATCCTGCATTCTGCTATTCTTGTTATCTCTTGGCAATGGTGAATTACAAAAAGGTGAGTGTGATTATGTCAAACTACCTGATGGAATGGTCCAACACTTTCTCATGGAAGAAGATCCTATTATGGATATTATAAATGCAACATTTCCAGAAGTTGAGAAGGGAACAATAACATCAGATATCTTTGCAGATAGGGCAATTTTAACACCGATGAATGATGATGTTGATTTGGTGAATACAGTCTTAATAGATCGATTTCCAGGAGAAACAGTAACTTACAAAAGTTTTGATATAATGCTCAATGATACATGCAACATTTATCCGACAGAGTTTATAAATAAACTTTGTCCAGGAGGAATGAGTCCCCATGAGCTCGTTCTTAAGAAGGGTTGTCCAGTAATTTTGTTACGTAACATAATGCCTTCCGAAGGACTCTATAATGGTAAAAGATTAATTTGTAAGACTTTTCTACCCAACATTATTGTCTGTGAGATCTCTGTTGGACAATACAAGGGTACACCTGTTTTTGTGCATCGGGCTAATCTGCGCTCTCCAGAAAATAGCAGCTATCCCTTTGTTTTTGAAAGAAAACAATTTCCAATTAAGCTATGTTTTGCCATGACGATCAATAAATCACAAGGGCAAACATTGAATCAAGTATCAATATATTTTCCTCGACCGTGTTTTTCACATGGTCAGTTGTATGTTGCACTATCTCGTGTTAAAAAAGGTGAAAATGTTGTGGTATATACCACCAAACCACGTGAAGGAAATCATCTAAACTCGGTTAGAAATGTAGTATCTTATGATATTCTAAAGTATTCGCAAATAAATTAGCATATAACTTTTATAGTATTGTTTAGTGTTATTGATATTATGTTACTTATTGAACTGATAAAATCACTGGATAAAATATATAATTTAAGTTGAATTGATTAAATGGTTTGAGGATTCGTTTTTTACAGGATTTCCAATATAGTTGATAAAAAATATAGCAACATAGAGTTCCAATTTAATTAGTACTATCTCCATCTACATTTATTAACTTTACAATAGTAAATGTAGATGGAGAAAGTACTCTATTCCTTACTCCATAATTAGTACTATCACCATCTAATATACAATCCATGAACTTCTTACTATAAGCATGTTGATACATTCCTTTCAATTTATCTTATGATTGATTTTTTTTTTTTATATGTTCAATTTTCAATTTGAAGGTTTAAATGTGTAATAGAGTTTGCAATCGTTTGATTTAGCGATTAATTCTTATTTACATGTACATCGTAATTTTATTCCCTTTTAAATTTCTATCATTCAAATAACCTAACAAATTCTTTATATTTACATATATTTGTAAGTCACTGCTATAATTTATCGCTAATGTCTGATGAGAAATCCGAAAATTGATAAGGACTAGGACTACCTCTACTGCTTTTCTGTCTTCTATCCATTTGTCGACTTGTAATATAGAACCTGGTTAAATAAGTTGGGATATATATGTATATATATATATATATGTATATATATATATATATATATATATATATATATATATATATATATATATATATATATATGATAGTTGGGATATATATACTTGTTTATTATTGCGTGCTTCGTCTAAATGATAGTTGGGATATTAGGTTTAGATAGATTTGATAATGATGGTGAATATTAGTTTCTTTTTGGGGATTTTGTGTAACTTTTTGACGTAAATTTAGTATTGAAAAATTAGTAGTGTAATGTACTTAGTTGTCTAATTAAAGTAGTAACTTGTGATTATAATATTAATGGAGTCTTTTATCTTGGAATTTCTCTTTTATTTTCCAACGGATTCTGTTTTTCTTTACAATGTTTTTCCTTTATATAATTTTTGATGAGTTGTTGTGATTATAATCAGGTAAGAATCAGAAACCTTGCTGCTTATGATGTGATTATAATCAGTTAGTGTTCGTAAGCTACACAGCAACTATTCAAGTATACTCTCAATTCTTCATCAAAGTGTCTTCTGAGCTTCATCTCCCCCATCAGACAGGTCTTTGAAATTATGAGGTAATTTGTCAGTTTTAACAAGCATCTTCAACACAGATTTCAATCAAGTCCCCATGTTTTGTCTTGTACACATGTTCATCTTGTGGGATTATTGTCGGTGATTGTAATAGAGTATACATATAATAGCAAAAACAATGCAACATATATACTTGACATCCAAAGTATGAAACAGAATCAGCATCACCAAGGCAATAATAATGAACAAATATACTTCTCTTTTTTAAACGTGCTTATGAATTGTTGTTTTTTCTGTTCTTCTGACATGTTTTTCCACTCTTCACCAATAAAGTATAGTTTGTTTTAAATTTGAAAAAAAAAAAAAAAAAACAAAAATCCCTCTATTACAATCAAGTATGAAGAGATTTAAATATACAATCCATTAAAAACTAATGTAAGAAAAAAGAGAGAAATGGAGCAAAAAAAGAGATTTGAATATACAATCCATTAAAGAAAGGTTTAGTCATGTATCTTATTGTCCTTGAAGATCATTGAGTCATATAGTATCCGAAATTGTGTCCAAAATCTTTATTGGGTTGTCTTTAATCATGTCTAGAACCTGCATTTGGTGTGTTTTTGCCAAGGATTGGTGTGCTTCATTTTCTCTTCAAGTTCATGGCTTACAATATCCCTTGTCTTAATTAGCTTCTGTACTAGATTATTGGGTTTCATTGCTTGGTGCTTGTAGGATAGTCCTTTTGATTGTCACTCATGTGTCCAACTTATTTGTTAAGAAATTAAAATTGGTACGATACTATTAGCTGCTTTGGACTATAGGTGTGAGAAAGTAATAGGTGGTGGACAATTACATTAAGATAGAATCGTCTCATATTCGTACTAGGGAGGGAAAAGAGGAAGTTCTCTTTGGTCTCTGCCTTTGAAATATATGACAGGGAGGTCCTTCAAGTCTCAACTTCCAAGCAAGCATGTTGAAACTAACTTCTTTCAGATGCATTGTTTAAGTATTGCTACAATAAAATGCATCTAGGTCATTAATATAAAAAAATAGGTGTATTATTAGCGGTAGTTTGCATCTTGAGTAGTTAGATTACTATTCTTAAACAGGGGAATGTGGATGATCGCCTGAAAAATAACCCCTCCCGTCGGATGAAAGCCTATGTAGTATATAGGATGCTGTATATCAAAAAACCAATGGCAGCATATTGAGCGTTTCTATGGTAAACTGAATATTAAAATGTCCATGTTAGTACCTTAGAAATCAAAGGCAGTTCAGTGTAGTAGATTTTCTCAGTGAATATCGACCATTTTAAGTCCTATCACCTTTGGTACTAGCTTACCAGTTGTTTATATACTTTATACCCGTGGTTGTTGTTCTAAAAATTGTTGCTCGAGCTTAGAAATGTATGCCTTCTTTATGGTGGCAGTGTGATTCTTCTTCTATTGCACCTCTGACTTCGTTGTATTAAGCACTTATCATCATGTCATTTCACTACTGGTTGATTTTCGTTCTTATCGATCAACAAAATATCCTCTTCTGTGTGCTTAATTTTTGTTGTCTTTAATTCCATAAGATGCTATTGTTAACTTTAGATATTTCATGCCAAAGTTTAGGTAAAAAGTTGGAGTTATAGTTTGATTTGAGCAATATTTCACTTTTGAATTTGTGAAGAATGAGTTAGTAGATTTAAGGGCGGATGTTATTACTTTGAAGCTGTCTCTTGATCTCAATATTGAGATGATTGAAGTTAGTTATTGAGGAAGTATGATGCAGAACTGAACTCAATTAATAAGTATATGTTGATGTATCAATGTCTAATTAATGTTAATCAATGTTACGAGGGGGAAGAACTTGAATGCTTAGAGTTTAGTTCATTAATTATGATGGTATTTATGCTTTTTAATTACTTTAATATTATCAATTTGAGTATCCAAAGCAGAGGTAAGTTCTTTTTTTAATTTAATTTTATGGTTGTTGACTATTGAATTTAAACCTGTTGAACATTCTAACTTCCACCTACTTTTGTATTCTTCCATGAGAATTGGAAGGACTCTTAAAGGAGAGAGACCTTAGTAAAGTAATTAAGAAATGGTATTGTAATTAAAATTGGTTTTTAAGAGTGAAAAATAAGTTTGTAGTGCTTTTATTTAATTTTTGTATGGATAAGTAATATTAAATTATTAATTTTATTATTAGTTATTATTTTAATTATTTCAAGAGTCTTTATTCAATCTTACGTTAAAAAAAGATGAAATTAGGATATAAACAAGAATTAAGTAGTGCATTATCCAAAGAAGACTTCGTCAATTTTGTATAATTGGGGATAATGAAATCAACATCAGTATGGGTTCATGATCATCATGAGTATGTATGTCATCTATTTGTTACATAAGGGGTTCCATGTAATTCAACTATTTAGTCCTTAAGTATGGTTGATTAGCTTGGTTAATTATGTTAAGTTGCAATCAATTTCTTCGTAATAATAGTACAGAATAATGTAAACGACATTTTATGAGTTTATATTGAGGTAAATAATAGTCGGAATCTAAGTAAAGGGGTAATGCATGTTTTGAATGGGAAAGACAAAGTATGAAATGTAAGACCCTTAATTATGAATACGTTGGGAAGGGAGCAAGCATGACTTTGTGATGGTAGTGTGTAGATCAATAGGGTAATTACCTCAACTTAAAAGACTATAATAATGTTTTATTATAAAGTCCAAATATAAAATTACATAAATTTATTCAACCTCAACGTTTAGAAAAGGTTCAATATTAGAACATCTTTCAACCATAGCCAAAGAAAAAATTCTGACATAAAACGTTCTATTACCAGCATAATAAGTAATCATTGTTTCGCCATCAACCAAATTATTTTCATTAACAAAACTTTCCCAGCCAATATCAAGACACATATTGCTTTTTGTATCTTTAATAACCTTCACCAGTTGCATAGGCCATATACGACTATTAGGGCCTCGAAGAACTTCCGCAGGACTACAAACTCTAATCAATAAAGCAGTCCAATCCTCTGAAAGCATCTATAATATTCACAAAGTTATGTACAAATACGAAAAAACATACTACAAATAATACATAATATATATATATATATATATATATATATATATATATATATATATATATATATATATATATATAAACCTACCAACTCATGCCTACATTCATCTCCAAACACAACAATGTGGCTTGGCAAATTACTATACATCTTTACGACTTTAAAAGTATGTTGAATATCTTATGATTAAGAAGCACCTATATTTATATACAACCTAATAAACGTTATTGTTACAACTATTATTAAAGAGGCTATTAAAAACTTTATTAAGTTGTGAAGTTTCAATTTGACTAAGTATAATCAACGTTAATCAATGTATTCAATTGTATTCAATTGTATTCATAAAAGAGTTACTAGAAGTTAATATGGAGTATTCAGTTATACAAGTATAGGTCTAAGACTAGACTATTTTAGGCTTACCTTAGCATATACTAAAATTCACAAAACTATGACTTAAAAATAGTTGTAACATCTACAATACTAAATACTTCGCAGATAAAGATAGCTGAAAGACCTCTAATTAGCTTATTATTTGTAAACACTTAATAAATTAGGTGTCGATGTGATTAGTTGTTTAGGATATTGATACATCAGATTAAATTGAATGTGATATCAAAATTGAAAGGTTTGTTTTCAATTTTCACTTTTCTTTTTAACTTTACCAAACCCACAAAGGTTCTGATGATAAGTGTTACACAAGAAGAGGATCTTGAGGGAAAAGTTGGAGTTGCTTTGTCGAAGGATTCTATGGCTGTTGCAGGAGATGCCCTCAACACTAATATCACTACCCTTGGTGCTTCCTATGTCAGAATAGGGCTTTTCTTTGCCACTTTAATAAGAAAAAAACTATTGAAGATGAAGCTAAACCCCTGCATCCCAGATTGCAACCTGGCTTTTGAGCAATTCTGCATTCATACTGGTAAAAGGACTGTTCTTGACAAATAAGAGAAGAGCCTGCAACTCTCTGATTGGCATATGGAGCCTTCGAAGATGATGCTCAATCGATTTGAGAATACCTCATTGAACTGGCATATTCTGAAACTAAAGGGAGGGTTAAGAGGGAAGATACAATGTGGCAGATTGCATTTAGTTCTGGTTTCAAGTGTAATAGCGCAGACTGGAGAGTTCTGAGGGGAGTGAATCCCGAAAAAGAGCTTAAGTAATCTTTATCTCCCTCTTAATTGCTGAAATGCCAGGCTTATATATTTCAAGACCACGGTGCTAATTTTGTTGCTACCTACATGATGTGAGTTTCTCTATATCCATTACTATACGCCTCTCTCCTAGCCTACAAATTATTAGAAAGCAGAGAGACAGAGAATTAAACACATAAACTTTACTCCTTATAGAGTCAGAGAATAAAACACATAAACTTTACCCCTTGAATATAAGTTTGCTCCTTGGGAAAAATTGAGTATAAATTTGCTCCTCATGAGTAAAATGCACTATAGCAAGATAAAGTTCTATTAAAATATTTAAAACAGTTGTTAATTTTTTTTTTAAAAAAATGTGCAATTTCAAAAATGAGTTTTCTTTAAAAATTTACTCTTTACCACTTAGTACTTGACTTTAATAATTTTCTACTCAATACAATCTTTAACAATTATTAAAATTTTCTAAAAAAAACAATATTATTCATAAAGCTATGCTTCCCTATTTTGCGTGAACCTACTTTTTTACACTATATAAAGACAAAAACTCCATTATCAATTACACTCTCTCACTCAACATACAACTACTTCAAACAACACAAATTCCTCTTCAAAAATCCTGAACAATTCTACAGAAGACATTATTCTATTGACAGAAGATTACAAGGTAAAAAAATTAACTATTATTCATCTGTTCTTATTGCTCTATTTGATATATGTACAGTTAAATAATTCTTTGAAATATTCAGGCTTAATGTAATTATTAGGTTAACTAACAATTTTTTTTTTTGTTTTTTTTTTTTGTTTTTCTTGTTTTTTTTTTTTTTTTTATGATCAGGATGAAAACAGAACGCATGCATCTTGATGAGCTTAATCCTAGCTCCATGAATTTCACAGTCAAAGTTAAAGTTGTCGAAAAAGCTAGACAAAGGATATCTTCCAACTCTAGAACAACAATCTTTCAAACTTTATATGTACTTGATGAAAAGGTATATTATGTCTTTTGGATTTTGTCAATGTACTATCTATGAAACTTATTGTATGCATGTATTTAATAGAATCTGGTTTAGATTTTTGAAAAAATAATAAATTTTGCATGCAATCTATGGCTATACGTGAAATCGAATTTTGATAAAAACAACCAGCTAGGGTTTCGTGGAAAAAAAAGGCATGCAATTATTAGTAGATGAAATTTACCTGTTAAAATAAGGACATAACTAATATATAACTTTTGTAAATTTCCCTGTTATAGTGAAGTTGTTAGAATGAACTTTTGTAAACTTTTATGCTTATTTTACCATACACATACCACTTTACCACAAATTAATCAAATATTAGGATGTTGTTTGATGTTATAAATGAAATTTACCTGTCAAAAAAAGTCAAAAAATGACCATGTATGTCCCCTCCTCTTCTCCAAGATCATATTTGGATACCCTTGTAGACAATCTTCCTTTAATTTTTTTTTTGTTTTTTTGGAGCTCCTGCTCTAACAGCAGTCCGATTCGCGGACTACAAATAAACAATCTTCCTCTCATTAATACACAAAATAACCATTTGTTTTGAGATTCCTTTATAGTTGAGGGCATCAAGAGCATTTTGTTTTTTCAAATGATAGTGGTTTAGGAGATGCATGTATTCATATGAGTGAATAATGGACTACGTAATTGATCATATTGATGATAAAATAGACTGTAAATGATTTTTTGGATGTTCAATGGTTATATAATCAATATTGTATAAGTGGTAAGTGACTTTTACAATGAGCTATGCAATGAGTGCAATCTTTCCAAATGTGTTTTAAGCATTAAATTAAATTATACATACTCAAATTTATTTCAAAAGAACAAGATGCGTATCACTCTTTTCGGAGATCAGATTAAAGGATATGACGAAGCCATTGCATACAATGGAGAGTATGAAATTTCAAATGCAACTGTGAAGCCACTAGATGATCAATACCGTACTGTCAATGATCACTTACCATTTCAACTACATTTCAATCATCGGACAGTTATTCAGCCAATCTGCACTGAAACAGGCCATGTAGTACCACAATATCAGTCAATAGCTTCAATTCCAAGACTGCAAGTTGGTGATGACAGATATGGTATTATCCTATAGTTAAATTATGACTTATAACCTAATAAATATGCATATGTGAATCAGTAAAAATTTGTTAACGGCACAGATTTTAAGCCAATTGATATAATTTTCTGTGAATTTGAAAAGATGGTGGATATAATACAACCATTATATTACTATCTACATATTTATACATCTTACTTTTCTCGAAATTAGGATAACATATCGATCTAAAAATGTATTCAAATTATACAGATGTATTGGGCGTGGTACTATTTGTAGAAGAAGAAGCTCGGCATGTCAGCTCCAAATATAACAACCAAAGCTATGTCCGAGAAATTATCATCACAGACCAAACGTAAAATTCTTTTTCATCTTTCTATTCTTCTTTTCTCTCTTCGTATTCAGTCTGTCCTTCTTTTCTCTGTCTATACTTCTTCTTTTCTCTGTCAATTTGCTTATTTTTTCATTTGGGTTTTTTATTACTCAGTCTATCTTTCTTCTTTTCTCTCTCTTTGTACTTGATTCTTCTTTCACTTGGTTTTTTTTTTCTTTTTCTTTGCTCTTTCTTCTTCGTTCGTTAACTCTACTATATGTGAAATTACTAAATCAACTGGTTGATTGCTTGCTACAGCCATAACCAGACCTTGACCATTTCTGCATGGAATGACCTCTCAGGAACTACAAGTGATGCTCTAAATTTCTGGGCTGAAAAATTTGCCGTTGTTGGCTTCACAGCTCTTAAACACAATCCTCGCAGAGGTAGAACCGCAAAAACTTATTTAATTTAAAAGGAAACCTACTTATTGTTCATGTGAATTGAAAGGCTAACATGTCATCTACTGTGCAGCGTTCGCCTTATCAACTACGATGTCTACGAGAATTATTCATAACCCAAAAGGAGATAGAGCAAATGTCTTACGTGAATGGTAATATAAGCCATTATACATACTAATTCATAACAAATAATTACTCTAGCTACTTAAACTCGCATTTGTGATGCCATAATAATTTCTTATACACATATAGGGTTGTAGCACAGAAGCAGCTACTACAAGATAGACAAGCAAAAGTTTTACAGATTCGAGATACTACACAAGAACAAGCTATGAAAACGATTGAAGAACTAAAGACAATAAGGTATACAAATAAGAAATAATGTCTTTGATTACATTTAAAACAAATATTAATATCATTTCCATAAATTCATGCAGGCTGCAAATGCACTTATGGAAGAACGACACTGGATTCAAGCTATCATTCCAAATGCTACTTTGGATGATGTATTTGTTTACACAGGTTGTTCTGGCTGTGGGAAAAAATGCAGTGTACCTGAAGGAAGACAGTTCACATGCATAGTCTGTGACGACAAAAATTGTGTCTCATCTCCAAGGTTTATTAAAACCCACATTCTAACATAAATCAAAGATATAATTAAACAATACCTTCATATTTGATTTATGTTAAAACTAAATATATATATTGATCTTATCATTTTTTTATTGTACAGGGTTGCTTTCAAATTCGAAGCAGTTGATATAACAGGTTCAATAACATTAACATCGTTCAACAATCACACAGAAAAATTGTTCAGCAAAAGCGCGGCAGAAATCAAAACAATGAAAGATCTTGTATGACTCTTCTACATGATACTCAAAATGGTGATCAAATTTTATTTTTTTATGAACAACATTCTATCTTGCAGCTGACCAGTAAACATTTGCATTTTAGCATAAAATTTGATGATTGATTAAAACTGACAAATTACCTCAGAATTTCAAATAACAAAAAATCACCCAAAATATAGGCAGTCATTCACAAAGAATTAATCGTCTAAATTTTGAAATATGAAACAAATACACTTTCATTACGTACAATTACTATATAAAGAACAAAAAGCCTTTTCGATGGTCACAGCAAGGGTTTGCAGCAGTAAACAGTCACTAATTTAAGTACTGATCATCAATCAAATTAATTGAGAAGTGTATGTACTACTTGGATCAATTTCATTACTGCTGCAAATCCTAGCTGCGACCTCCGGATAGCCTTCATTCAACGACAGAGTAGAGTTGCAGATGGCATCTAATGCTCTTACAGGTTACCGTACCACATGCTAGCTATACGCACAAAAAAACAGACCAGCAGGTAAGAGTACGTATACTCCTGAATTGCTTTATGTTTTAATTTGAGTAGCTCTTATAAATACAAAAGAAGTCATTCAGAATGTAAAATATGATCAAAAACATCGACGAAGCACTACAAAAGCTAATATACATGGTATGTAAAACAAAAATGCACAAGTTATAATTCATACAATCCCTCTGTTTGTTTTTCCATCTTATTTTTTGTTTAATGTGTTCTTTAATGTACTAATAGTCAATTTCACAATTTATCATATTCTCGCTTATATGCACTTTCTTTGTAAAAATTATGATTAAAAATCACTTCTTTTACCTTCTTTACTCCTTTTTTTTAGAAAAAGAAAAACCTTCTTTATGTTGGTGTATTGCTTGAATTAGTGAGGAGAAATGAATCAATTTATTTACTTTATTTTGCAAATTCTAACTTTCATTCTGCCTTATTATGAGCTCTCAACATATGATATTCAACTAACACTTTTAATACATATGCTGATTACGATTATATTGTCTAGGGTGATGTGGTTGCTTTCCAAGAAATTGAAGAAAAGCTCAGGAAAAAAACCACTTTCTTCAAACTCGGTCCATCTAATTCCCTTGGTTCAAGCAGCGTTTTAGAATGGTCACTGAAAAATATTGAAACTGCTGAAGATGCGTCTAAAAAGGATTTAACAAAACTGACTGTTGCAGGAACTGATGAATTTGAATTCTCAGATCTCAATATGAATGTGAATTTTACAAACAAAGAAACACCAGATTCGAAAACAAAAGACAAAGGAAAAGGGAAAATTTCGGAAACAAATTTCGATAAATTCCCATTGACATCAAAAGGTAACAATTGTAACACATATTTATCATAAATAAGCCCTCTAAATTATGCACAATACATTCATGACAATTGATACATGTATATCCCTATTTACAGGCGTCGTTATAGCTGATGAAAGCCATAGAGTTGCTGACAGCAGCTTAAAAAACAAATCCCTCAAACATTCAGCTACACATACACCTGCACTTGTCAAAACTCCTAAGATTTCACCTACTGAGTGGACACAACTTTGTCGCACTCGCATAACCGGAAACAAGCAATCTCACGTGTCTCCAGCACACAGTGAAGACACACAAACTAACTTGGTTTGTGTACAAAGTGTAGGTCGAAAAAAACTCCGTCTCACACCATCAGCATCTCAGGAAAATGAAGAGCATGAATCCGCCAAGAAGGACCCACAACATGAATCCGCCATGAAGGACCCACAGCATGAATCCGCCAAGAAGGACCCAGCTAATTTAGCGCCATCTGCTGCTTCTGATAAGCCTGCTACACCAGAATTTGATGCTAACACATCTACACCAGGGAATGATCAAATGACACAGGCCTCAATTGACTCTCTTACTCAAGGTAATTAGCAAAAAAAAAGGAACAACAATGTACATACGTACCAGAAGTAGGTATTATAACTAACTTCAAAGGTGAGGTACTGTCACCCCCTCTATTACAAAATTTGGGCTTACAAAATAATATTTTGATGTATATTCCTTTAAAAGACTCTCCGTTTTTTTTGTATTACTACAGCATTGCATGAAGATACTTTTAGATGAAGGTAAAGTATCTATGAAAATAGAATTGCAATACTGTTAATTGAAAACTTTTGAAGAGTTTTCTAAGAACATATACAATAGTTAATGTTCCTAGAAAACACTATAAAAAGGTCAAATGTTGTTCCAAAAAAAAAAAGCACTGATGTAATGTTATTCAATAGTTGCTTTTGCTTCTGATGTAATGTTGTATGAAAATATTATAATATAATATAAGTAAATTATAAATAATTACTTCTTAAATTAGCTATATGATCTCCTCCATACTTTATCTCGATATGAAAATGTCTATACTCGTTATCAGGTGCTTTGGATAGATACAAAGCGGAAAGAGTGATATGATCTCCTCCATACTTTATCTGACGAAGAGACGAAGCCATTGCATACTTTATCTCGATATGAAAATGTCTATACTCGTTATCAGGTGCTTTGGATAGATACAAAGCGGAAAGGTTTGATACAACTTTAGCAAAGGCTTATTGTTATATGATCAACTTAAAAACACTTGAATATCACAAGTAATGTACATTCTACTGGGTTAAGCTACAAATAGAATCTCATATACCCGAAACCATCATATTACATTTACATGATTATCAAACCTTAAAACCGCATTCATTATTTATTTCAGTCACTTTCCAAATAAAAAGTGCACCTGATAACGAGTATTCTCGAATAATGTGATAACAATCTAATCGAATAAAGTAGTATTAACCCCTCTATGCAATCACATTTCATGATCACTCCTCTTGTTAACATTACATGATTAGCAAAGTTTTAAACCATATTCATTATTTCATCCACTTCTAGATAGATTGATCAAGGGAATCATAATTTATGAATCTCAAGAATCATAATAGTAGAACTACTATGAATTTCAAGAATCATAGTAGTTGGACAATAATTCATAGTAGAACTACTATGAATTTCAAGAATCATAATAGTAGAACTACTATGAATATCATGAATCTATGATTCTTGAGAATTCATAGTAGTTCTACTATTATTGATTATTGAGATTCATAGTAGTTCTACTATTATGATTCTTGAGAATTCATAGTAGTTCTACTATTATTGATTATTGAGATTCATAGTAGTTCTACTATTATGATTCTTGAGAATTCATAATAGTTCTATAAGATGGAGATTGCTTGATGTATAATGTACTGCTAAAATTACCGACTATAATCAAAGTCTTTGCTTTTATATTTTCTTATTCTTTTTTATGATAATTTCACCAATTCACTGAAATCCTAAATAAACAGAATAGCGAAAAATAAAATCAAATTGAAAGCATGTTGAGGCAAAAAAAACCTTAGATTGTGAAATTGAAATTTGATGATTGATTAAAACAGACAAATTACCTCAGAATTTCAAATACGTGTCTGATGGGGGAGAATAAACTCAGAGACACTTTGATGAAGAATTGAAAGTATAATTAAATAGTTGTTGTGTAGCTTACGAACAGTAACTGATTATAATCACATCAGGTTATGATTGAATAAAGTAAAAACCAATACCAACGTTAATCCAATAATTCGAAATAGTTTTGGCCAATTAATGACCTTAATTATATATTTAGTTGTTGTGTAGCTTACGAACAGTAACTGATTACAATCACATCAGGTTATGATAATGGTTTCTATTTATAGCTATTATTATCCTCTCTCAAGCTTATATATTGGGTTCTGCCTTATGCTACAATTTTAATTCATGTTCTTGTACATGTATCTGTGTTTGCTATACATATTTGTATTAGACACAAATAACAACAACAAAATTAACTTTAAAATGCACTTGCAACGACAACAATATTAACAACAACAAAGTTAACTTTAAAATGTACACAAAAACAATGAGGGAGTGAACACGAGATACAAAGAACTTCAAGACAAAGAGAAAGCTAACATGAATCGACTTTATAATTTTAGCATTTTAAAATGACTAAGAAACATGGTGATAAAAAAAAATGTATAGGGATTTTGTAATATACTATATATTATCTTCGTAAGGTAAGTATTTGTTTAAAAAAGTTTAGACATTTTATAAAAATGCTATTACATTGTAAAAGTAAGTAGACGAGAAGAAATCGAATCTTTCTTAGAAAGAATTATTATTAGAGTGTATTTCATTTGATGGAAATCCAAAATCATGTACGAAATGACTCTATAAATCGTAAAAATTGGATTAGAATTTGGCGAAAAAAACAATAAAGAGAAGAGAAAAGGAAAGAAGGAAGGAAGGAAAAGAGACAATAAAAACGCCATTGGGGTACCGCACGCGAAGGTAGAGATTTGATCCCTTTACATTGATGTTATTTATTTGAATAATAATTCATATTACTTCTTTCTAATAACATAATTTAAGCTACATCTTTCTCATATAATAACTTTGAATGCAACATTCCCCTCTTAGATTGCCTTTAATACTTGAAATTTTTACGACATGCACACAATACGCAAACATAATTACCGTGTAACAGAACCACCGAATACAGTATTCACCGATAATAATTACCGCCATTGGGGTACCGCGTGCGGGACCACAACTAGTAGTATAAAATGATCATAAAATTCAAGTAAATAATTATTACTCCGTAATTTATCAACATTTTATGAGTGTAGTTTTGATTTGAACTTTGAACAGTCATTATAATTCAATTACAAAACATTTGCTATATACTTGTGTCATATTTTTTTTTTCTTCTTGATAACAAGTCTTTTTACTATATTGTTATTTCAGTATATAGTTTTGCTTGAGGGAAGTTTTATACGACTCTACTTGTAATATAAATAGGTATATAATCATGGTTTAGTTGTAATTTGGAATTAAATTTATTTTATCACATTTCAAAAAGGTAAAATACAATAAGTTTTATAAGAAAAGATGCATCAGATCATTATCAACAAGCATTAATGTTTACAATCTAATAATTCATCTCAAAATCAGATAATAACAATTCTTATACAACACAATCTAAAAGTATTGATATTTTATATGACCCACAAAAAATGCAACTAGTAGAATAAATTAAAGTCAAAGATCTCAAACCTTACATATACTTTGTACTTCGTACATGTTAGTGATCAAGGATACGGCCATTTAATTACTAAAATCCTACCTGCCTAACTTCACCACACTTCAAACACACAAATATACATACCAACCAAACATTCATCATTTTAAAACCCGACTTCTGTAGGTGCTTAAAGCCCTTAAAAAGGTTTTAATTTTATGCATCTTTTCTCACATACATGGCTTATTTTTCTTCGCAATCTTCAACTTCATTTTCTCTCTTTTCATTTTAAGCACTAATGCACCAACAAAATGATGAAATTTACTCCTATAATTTACCCTTTTCTTGCTGTAATATTTACCCTTTTAGCTGAAGAATCAAAGGCAACAACTTCTCAAGAGCTACTTAAAGGGTTCACCGTAACTCCAAATCCAACAGTAAAAAATTTCCAGCCACTTTTGAGTGATTCAAGTGGTAATTTCTCACTCAGTTTTCTCCGAATTAATCAAGATCAACTAGCTCTTGCCATAGTCCATGTCCCGTCTGGTGTGTCCCTCTGGCAGGCAAACTCGGCCGGGTTAGCTCGATGGGGAAAACCCACCGAGCTCATTTTCAATGGTAGCCTTGTATTTAGTGATCATGATTCAGGGGTATTTTGGTCCACGAACACTGATGGTGATAGTGTTATTCTAAGTAGTGCACCTAACTTGAGAATTTTAAAGGGGAAGAAGTCTTCGTTTGTTTTATGGCAAAGTTTTGACTTTCCCACTGATACCCTTGTGGAAAATCAGAATTTCACTTCTGCCATGTCATTAGTTTCCTCAAATGGGCTCTATACTATGCGTTTAGGTTCTAACTTTATTGGCTTGTATGCCAAGTTCAAACCTACGAGTTCGGATCCAAATCAAATGTACTACCGGCGTCGTGCTTTGCAAGCTAGGGCTAGTATTGTTGAAGGGTCGGGACCCATTTTGGTTCGGATAAGCTCGGATGGTTTTATGGGGATTTATCAGAATGGGTCCACCCCTGTTGATATAGAAACTTTTAATAGTTACGAGAAATCTGTAGCCGGACCTAGGCAAGTTAGGATAGAAAATGATGGGAATTTAAAAGGTTACTATTGGTCTGGGTCGAGTTGGGTTTTAGACTATCAAGCCATACCCAAGACATGTGATTTACCAAGTCCGTGTGGATTGTACGGGCTTTGTAAACCTGGGGTTGGTTGTTCGTGTTTAGACAACCAAACCCAGGCCCAGACCGGGGAATGTCACCCAAAGCAAGTGGTTGGGGACTTATGTGATGGTAAAGTCAAAAAGTTTCGGGAGCTACGAAGGACAGGTGTCGAGCCCCCATACAAAGAACTAATGGCGTACACCAAAACAACGTCGTTTGAGGAGTGTGAGAAGTCATGCATGGTGAATTGCACCTGTTGGGGAGTGTTGTACAACAATGCTTCTGGTTTTTGTTACAATATGGACTACCCTATACAAACTATCCTAGAGGTAGGGCATGACAATAAGATAGGGTATTTTAAGGTGTTGGAAGGTGCAAGGAAGAAAAGGGACCAAAGATTGGGAATTGGTATTGGACTTTTATGTGTAGCTATAATTGTGCTTGGATTAGTTGTTGGGTTTGGAGGTTACAAGATATCAAAGAGGAAGAAAAGAGTTAAAAATCGAATTTTGGAAGATGAAAATATTAATGCTTCTGGATCATATAAAGATTTAGGGTATTCTAATTTCGGATCTGTTGAATTAAGTAATAGATAATACTGACTTTTAAATTTACCATATTTCCTTAGTTCTTTCTATTTGTAGGATAAATATTTTTGCAATTTTATTTGTCAATTTGGTTTGAATGGTTAGATTGTGTAGGAATCGCTTTCCTTCATTTAAAGGTAAACTTTTAGATTGGAGTACAATGTAAAAGTATTGTCTATTTACAATGAATCATTGAGCATTTGCGCCGTTCAGGGACCTCGGAAAATATGCATTACATTTGACTTTGTAGCAAGTTGAGACAACTATATACTAATTTTAATATTTGTGTATTATGTTTGACTTTATTTCCAATCTTTCAAACATTTCAGCCGTATCTTTGATTTCATTATAATAATACACATACCATGTGGAATAAATACTCAGTATAAGCCTGACTACTAAATACAGATAGGGGTTAAAAAATGGATTAGTTGATTTTCTTCTACATGTGCTAGAGATTACATGTTTGATCCCTCAGCTCGTGCTTACTTCTAAGAAAATGATTTCTTATAATTCTGAGAAACGAATCCATGATGATAAGCACAACGTATGCCATAAACTCGTTCATCACTGCATTCTAAACAATGAAATCTAATAATACGAAATAACAAATTAAAGTCGTGCATATTGGAAAACAAACACATGTATATTGCAACACTTGCAAAACATTTTAGATAAAAGAGAAGTTATTTATGTACAATGTAGAGGTGATAAAAAATTCGGACTTGGCCGGGCCAGGACTTAACATCATATCTTGTGCCCAAACTTGCAAAAAAGTATGGGTTTGTCAGGCCCAAGCGAGTTTTGCGGGCTTTTTTCAGACCGGATTCCAGTTAACTAAAAATGCGTGATTAAGTTTGTCTAAACCCGTCGTATATTCAAGCTAGGCCAGATCGGATTAGACTAATAGGCCGGACTGATGTTGATCACCTCCAGTACAATGATTGTACTTTTTACCTGATATATAGCTTATATATTTACAAGGTATATCCGATTATACGGTGAAGATCATCGAAATCTCTTAGCACTAAGAATTGTGGACCGTGACTCGTGAAGGAGCTGAAGTGGAAGTCATGTAGTAGTGGATCTTGTCGTTTTAAAAAGATCACACCAATCAATTGATATAATTCGTAATAATCATTGGTAGAGGCACTTAAAAAAGTAAAGTTAATCACCCATGCCGGTTATGACGCATGTAATGGCGATATCATTTTCGTAGTCTAGCAAAGTGGATTGAGATCGATTATTTAACAAAATAAAGTAAAGATAAGATAGATGGGTCAACCAAAAAAATGGATATATAGTCGCTGCCCAACTGCTCTGTTCACGTTGGTTTCAAGTAGATATTCAATTTCCACGCAACTTGTTTCTACATTTGGCCTAAAACTCTAGAAGAGAATTGAAGTTTACCTTTCATAAATTAATGTTTTGAAGTTGTATTAATGGCTGACCCACTTATATTTGGTGGCTGCTTGGTGAAAGGGATAACTCATGAATGCTAGCTAATGTGTGTGGATGTTTGGAATGTAATGAATTTGTTCTATAAGTGTTTATGAGTGATGAGTTTAGACCTATGAAGCAATTGTATGAAGCATATAGCTATGTTACTTCATTTGTACATGTGACTGTGTTGTGTCCGTATTCTCAAGGACGGAATTAAAAAATTATTTTTTACGAGAACAAAAATTTTCTTTTAACTTTTAAAAAATTAATTAAGACTTTAATTTGTTTTAAAAAAAACATCTTTACCTTATTATTTTTCAAATTTGTAAATTAGGGAGTGCCGAGACTCCTTTTAGTCCACCTTATGTTTCGCCTATGTGTATTCCGTTTACACAAAACAATCCAACCGGCCAGGGATTGTTAGAAGAAGATTAGGGTGAAAGGTAAGATTGTTTTGGAATAATCGAAAGGTGTGATTATTTTTGGAAGATGGAACAAAAGTGGGATTATTAGTTTTCATTTTTTCTAAAAGAAATTGACCCTAATTCAGTTTCTGGTAATGAAAAAATTTCAATTACTCTCTGAAATTGATGTTGATTTTCATAGGAGATACATGGTTGTTGGTTATATTTTTAAGGTATCTTGCGGCTAATGGGGGTTGGAAATGCTATTTGGATAAGAAATATTCTAAATTTAGGTGGAGAACCACATGAATATAAGGGTTGTTTCAAGATTGTTAATGTTTTTATTAGTGAAAATATTGAGGTTAATCTTTTGATTTATAAGCAAAAATTGTATTTTTCTTGTTGTATGCCTGTATGCATAAACAAATGGTGGTACACTGAAGATTTCACTATTTATACTGATTTGAAATTTTTAAATGCGAATTTAATTGAGTATGATAGTCGTTATGGAGAAGTTTTTAGTATAATTCAGTTTTGAGATTCTAAAAAGTTGTATAATGGACTTTTTAAATAATCAAAAGTCTATGGGACAAACAACAAAACCATGTGTTTTCTTTTGTGAGCCTACATGTTTTGATGAAATTTATTTATCAAATTGCTCTGGTAATGAAGGATCAACAAAAGATCCTTAGACTTAAATGTTCAGATTAATGATGAAAAGCATGTGTATAGAGTGATTGAGTTTTGATGTATGTGAAAAGTAATATTTTAAGGGAGTAGAAAAAATGCAAATATAGATTCTAGAATTGAGTTGAATAGAAAAGTTTTAGAAGAATACAAATTTGTAAATTAGAGGATGAAAGAACTAATAAAGCCAAACAAGAATCTTCTATTGTGGGCAAATCTAATTAATAAAATATAAAACATTGCATGAAACAAATAATATTAAAATAATTTATAATTTAACAAATTATATGAAACTATATGTATATATTGTATATTATATTGCACATATATATGTATAGTTATGTGTATTGATAGATTACTCAAAATTTGCATATTATTTTGGAAATTTTGAGTTTTGAAACCACAAAAAAGATCGAAAATGTTTTTTAACACTATAAAAAATATTCAATGATTTATGTCAATATTTATAAATGGAAATTAATTAAATTGTAAACACATTAATACCACTTTTATGAAAAAACAAAGAAATAAAATTCACAAAGTAATAACTTACGAAAAAGATTTCTAATTATAATGACAAAGATGTTTGGAAAGAAATATGAAAAGCGCCCGATCATATGAAAATGAGATTCTTTTTATGGCAATTAACTTGGGATCGTTTACCCACTAATGTCAATCTTAATAAACGAATCCAAAGCATCTCTATGTAGTGTGGTTTTTTCCAAAACGAAGTAGAAACTAGAACCCTCTTTTTAGAGAAAGTCGAAAAGCTATTGAACTATGGGAAATTATTCCTATCCAATTGATAACTTTATCGACTCTATCTCATGGCTAGGCCTGGTTATTGGGTAGGGCTACCCAATGACAAAAGGGTCGGGCCTAATATTAAAGGGTTTTGACCCTTTGATTTTTTTGATGGACAGGGCTTTTATATGGTCTTATTTTATAGGGCTTTTATAGGGTTTTATTTTATAGCCCAATAATTTAAAAATTAAAATAAAAAGCCCAATAATAATGGTAAGGGTCAGCCAACTCACACTTCCATTTTCTCTTTCTTCTCCTCTATTCTTTCGCCCACCTTTCTCTCTCCTCCATTGAAGCGCGCTCAGAGTTCTCCAGAGTCTAGAACATTCCGAGAAGAAGCCTCATACATTGTCTTATTGGTTGAAGTCAGAGCTTCCTGTTATCAAAAAGGTTTGTTATCATGGCCTTCTTCTGTGCCTTCTTCGCGAGGTATTCCATTATCTCTTCCTCAGAAACCTTCTTCTTCCTCCGGTCGCCGGAATCTTCGTTTTCGGCGGCGGCTGTTGCTTCGCCAGCGGTGTCTGGTGCGATCGCGGAAGGAGTCCGAGTCATAGTCGAATTCGGAATGTGACTCGGCCAAATCGAATCGGAATCGTCATCGTCGCATTTTCTGGAAATTTCTAAACAGAGAAGAAAATATTCATCATGACCCACTAAATATTCATCATGACCCGCCCCGCTAATGACCTGCACCGACCCTCCCAATAACCACCCCTATTCATGGCTCATTGATAATCTAAAAAATACTAAAATTTCTATTCATAACATTCTTTTTGCCTTATCTCCGTGGAGCATTTGGAAAAGAAGGAACTCCTAGGTATTTTTTTTAAAAAAAAACCCCAAACACACCGAAAAAATGACCTGTACAGGGCTGTGGCAAAGTGGTTTTACTCACAAAAAGCCACTACTACCTCCCTAAAGCCCTTATTCGACCAATGGACACCTCCCATAAAAGATGTTCTAAAACTAAATATTGATGCTTTATTCCTTTGCAATACTCAAGAAACCGACTATGCTATAATATACAGGGACTACCGTGGACAATGGGTATAGGGAGCAGCTACGAAAATGTACTATTCTAGTGCCCTTGAAGGAGAACTACAGGCTATCTTGCTAGCTGCTACGCAAATCAAAACACATGGTTGGAAAAATTGCATCATCTTTACTTACTGCAAACAGCTACCTGATCTGATTCAATGCCAAAACACGAGACCAGCTTGTGCGCTAACAACTTTACTTCACAAATGCAGGCTACTCCTGCACCAACTAACATGTATAGCGCGAGCTGAAGTTTGAAGGAAGAAATGCTAATGGAACGGTGGATGCGCTAGCAAAGAAAGCTAGGAGAAGGATTGATCTTTTGTACAAGACCGAAACTTATTGTAATCCTCCTTTGGTCTGTAAAAACTTAATCCTAAAAGACATGCCTGCTACTGATACTCTGGGTGTTTGTAACATTTTGGATGACTGTACTCATGTAACAACTCTTCTTGCTAAAAACAATGCTGTAACAAACTCGTTTGATGTTTAATTAATGCTCCTTGCTTACAAAAAAAAAAAAAAAAGGTTGATATTGGATGAAACTTGGAGAGAGAGATAGAAAAATAGTAAAGATAGAGAGAGGGAGTAGAGGATGAAGATTGAAAATATATGAAAAGTTTTTATTTCGAA